GCTCCACATTCGCATTTTGCTGCACCTTCGCCGAAGCATGCTCGCGGTCTCGTTCGTGCCCAGCAGCGCGCCGTACTCTGTAGTTACCGCGTCGCAGCAGCGACTCCAAGTGCCGTCGCAGGTCCGCGGTGTCTGCCCCCGCTCGCTTCCAGGCCTCCTCCGTCGTGGCGCCGTGCTGCGGTCGACCAGAGGTAGTGGGCGACGTCTGAAAGCATCGGTGACGTCGGTCGGGTCGCCCTGCTCGCCGTCGACGGGGTATCCAGTAGTTCTTGTTCTTGTCGATCCCAGTCTCGGGTCCTCGCGAGTCCCAGTCTAGCTCCCATGGCGCACACGCTGGTCTCCAAGGCCCAGGTGCAGCTTGTGCGTCGCTGCTGCCTTGGCCGGGATAACTTGCGCTCTGCTGCCGACGATCCGAATGCTGATGTCGTCGAACCATGCTCGTGGCACTGGTCGTGGTATGACGGTGGTGCCTATGAACTTCGCCACCGCCGCGTGCACTACCGCGTTGGCCACGTTGTTGGAATGCCGTGACCCAGCGAGGATCGAGCGGTCGGCGCATGGTGGGAGCGAGCCTGCCCCTCGGCAGCGTAAAAATATCGTTGATGGGTGCTGTAGCATCATGAGGTAGAGTGGTCTCGCTGGGAAGTTGAGCGGGAGTGCTACTGGTCGGACCTTGTCGACGCGCAGGCTGTCGTAAAACTTCTCGATGTCGGCTAGAAATACTGGTTCCCAGAGGCCTAGTGCGTCTGCGCAATCGTCTGTGATGAGGCGTCGTAGTGCTTCTCATAGGCAGCTGTTCCCTCGATCGCTACATCCCATTCCCGCGCATGGCGTCGCGCCCATCGCCGAATGCGCTGTCGGCGAAGAAGCTCCCAGCAGCGAACAGGTTGTGGCGGTAGCGCAAGGGCTCGGTCCCTTTTGGCGGGCTCGAGGATGAGCATGGCGATGGCCGTGGTGAGCTGCCGCGGCCATGCGAGGTGGCGCTCGCGCTCGCCGAAGAGGTCGGCCAGCGCCTAGCGTCTAGATTCAGGGGGGCGTCTTACGTCGCTGATGCGAATCATGTTCACGCTCTTGCCCATGTCGGGCCCGCCCTTGATGCACCTGTCGAGGTCGTTGGGCGCCCGCGGGTCGCACTCTTTCCCCTCGGCGGCCTTGGCGCGGAGGGCGGCGAGGTACTCCTTGTGCTCCTCGTCCGGCGTTGCGTCGCAGATCCAGATGTGGGTGAATGTAGTGGGCTTGTGGTCTATCATGTCCTTCGGGCTGCAATGTCGCGGCGCCAGTATGGATTTCGGTGTCGCATCGTCGTGGTGGTTTGGTGATGTCGCGGCGCGTGCCGCTGTGCTTGTCGGCTTGCATGAGCCTCGTTCCGCATTGCTTCCTGATGTCGCTCATGTCTTTCCGAAGTGCGCATGTAACTTCCTGCTCTGCTTGTTCAGCCATGCCCTTCAGTGTCTCCAGTGGGTTGGACTCCAGCTGCTCCACGCGGTCCTTCTACAAGTCTCTGCGGAGTCGTGCTGTCGCAGTGGGCGCCGGCCCTGCAGGGGGTAGGCCTTCCCGTGCTAGTCGTCGGCCCGCGCTGGCAAGCTCCCGTTGCTGTAGGTGCCCGTGTTGTCGCTCAAGTAGCTTGACTAGTGCTCGCAGTATCGCGTCGGCGCGGTTCCACCAGTCCGCTTTGTGCGATGCGGCCCCTTCTGTCGCCGGCCCACTTTTTCCTGGAGCTGCTGCTCCTTGCAATGGCATGGCGACCCCCGTCCGGGCTCCATCCTGCACGCCGCGCAGCGGGGCTTCTCCCGGGCGCCGCCTGAGAAGCTCTGCGCCGCTGGGGTCCGCGCGGCCGGTGGCGTTCTTCAAGATGTAGTCAGGGGCGTCGTCGTTGTCGTTTTTCTGCTGCAATACGCCAGCAAACACCCACGCGTTGTCCATCGCGTCAGCGTTGGCCCCGACAGCGCGGGCAAGGACCCGCTCCGTCAGCGAGGGCCCGGAGACCCCGTGAGCTCCCTCCCGGGTGTCGACGGCGTCCTTGCCTGCGCAGCTGCGTTGGTCCACTGTGGCTGCGCCGTTCGCGTCGCTCTGCTCGTTCTCATCTCTGCCCGTCGGGCGAGGTGGGCGTCGCACTCCCGCTGATAGACGAGGTCGCCCGCGTCGTGCCTCGTCTCCATGTCGGTAGTGGGGCTGCCCCCGCCTATGTGGTGATAGTCGTGAATGTCGCCGACGGGGTCGACGTCTGTGTGGCCCATGGAAAGGGCTGCTGCGCGATGTGTGCGCTGCGCGAGTACGTCGTTCACCCCGTCGGCCCCAGTGCATCCCATCGCTGGTTGTCTGCGTCGATGCTCATTGGTGTCGCCGTGAATTCTGGCGGTGCGAGCTGTGGTTGTGGTGTCTGGTTGTCACGTGCCCGTCTCTGATGCGCTGCTCCCGTCTTGCTGCTACGCGTTGGTTTTGGTCGGGGTGGATGTGGGAATGGTCTGGGCAGTTGGGATCGTCTGATGTCGTTTGCTTCTGACGAAGCACGAATGTTGATGACCAGTCCTAAATGTGGTTTCCATGGCGCGTCGTAGATCGGTCTCGCTCCTCACACCAGCCGCTGGCCTCCTTTGTTGGCCACCGCGCAGTCGACGTTGGAGTAGACGTCTCCGAGGTTGCAGGCGCGCGCGTCGCCGGGTAGGCCCACGGCGCCCGCCGCCCCAAGTGCCGTCGGCCAGCCCGTCTCGGCGAAGTCGCGGCGGTTCACGTTGAAGCCGCCGCAGACGAGCCGCGGCATAGAGAGGGAGTCCAGGAAAAAGGCCAGCGACGTCAACTTGCGCGCGTTTGCGCCGCGCAGCGCGCTGCTCTTAGGGCCGAGGTAGAGGGGGATGATGACCAGCGACGCCCCCTTCAGTTGCAGCGCGACTGGAGTCCAGTCGCGCATGCCCAGGTCTCCTGGCTCATTGTGGTTGCACGCGTTGGAGGCGGTCACTGGCTTCGAGCGGTGCTTCAACGAAGTCGCCATCAGGTGCCCTTTCGTGATGACAGCTGCGCCACCTCTGGCGCCCGCCAGGCTCTTCTCGCTCCGTCGCGCCGCGGCGAAGGTGCTCGCGAAGTCCGCCGTCTGCAAATCGCGCTCCACGCTGTCGATCTGCGCCGAAAATGTCGCACCCTCCAAGAAGTCCGTCGCGTCGCAGCTCATGACCTTTGGTCCCCACGCGGTGATGTTGGCGAAAAAGATTGTGCGGTCCATGGGCTCAGCGTCGCCGACAGGTCGCCTGTCCCTCTGCTGTAGATCCTAGTGGTCGTAGGGAGGGGCTCCTTCGCCTGACCTGCGGCGCTCCAGGAACTCCCCGGCCTCGCTCTTGTTGGTGTCCTTGGCCCCTTCCGCGCTGTCGCTTGCCGTGGCCGTAGACCTTGGCGGTGGCGCCGTTGTTGACGCCGCTGCTAGGCCTCTTGTCTTCGCCTCCTGGATATTGTCCACTCGGTCCGCTTTCCGCTTCTTGAACGCCCGCCTGATAATGGTGCGGTTCTCCTCTGCCTGTGTCCTCGCCTTCTGTAAGTGCTCTGCGAGTTGCCCTTTGAACGTGAGCGCCGTCCACTTGAGCTCCACCAAAACTTGTTTCTTGGTGCTTTCGACCGCTGTTCTCCCCTCTGCGCCCATATCTTCGTCATATGTAGAGTGCCCTTCAAGCGCAAAGAACTCGATCTCGGACGGGCGCGCGACGTCCGTGCCCGCCTCGAAAATCACGTCGAATATGCTATTGTTCTTCTCTTCGCCCTCTGCCTGGATGGACTCGATGAGCTGCTCCGTCTTCAGCATCTCGTCGGCCCTCAAGTTGAGCGCTTCGTGGGCCTTCGCCGACTTGGCGTCTGCCTGCTGCTTCGCCTCGAAAGCCCACTTGCACCTCTCGTTGGCCCCCTTCAAAGGACTTAGCCGCCTCTGCCAATCGTAGTGCTTTGGACTTCGTTGGCGCTAACGGTGTCAAGCAGGAGCTCGCTGCCTTCTCTAGTGCTGAGGCCGCCCCCATACAGCTGCTCGACGATCCCGCCCTTGTCCGAGGTCGCCAACTGCATGGAGCCGGGCGTGGAAGTGACCGTCTTCAGGGCCGTCGCGAGCTGCTCCACACCGTTCTTCTGCTGCTGGCCAGTGGCATGATTGCCGCCCTGGGCCCTCGCGTCGTAGATGATGTTGTGGTAGCTTGCGTACTGGCCATTGCCCGTAGTTGTCGCCGTAGTCCGCTGCCGCAGTCGTGTGCTTCCAGCTCTTCGGACGGGCGACACAGCATCCGCATATGCACCAAAAGTCATTATCGCACAGCTGCTTGTTCAAGTACCACTGTTAGCAGCGCTTGCACCTGCTCCAGTCATCCTGCAGTTTCGGCGCCATGCTGCCGTGGTGGGAATCGAGCTGACGGATATGTACTGCTCGAAACCACTTGCGGGCCTGACCTCGCACCCGTTTGAGGCGCCTGTGCCAGGCGGGCGAGGGAGACCTCCTCAGGCCCCGGCGGCCCTCCGTGGGCCTGGGGGCTCCCGATGGCGCGGGCCCCGCGGCGCCGCCCGAAGGCAAAATGGCTGCGCGGGGGCGGGGTGGGGCCACGCTGGGGAACCACGTGAGGCCAGGAGAAGGAGGAGCAGGAAGCGGAGGGGGGGAAAGAGGAGACGGAGGAGGAGATGGATGAGGGCGGTCCAAGGTCACGCGGAAGTCGATGGCGAAGAGTCGTGCAGGTACGGGTGTCGGCTGGTTCTGACCCAGTCCGGAACACGAGATGGTAACTCGCACCTTCGGCCTGCGCGAGGAAGACGCACCAGAACCGGCCGGCGATCTCGCTCGAGCACGAGAGGAGGGAGGGGGCGAGGGAGAGAGGAAGGAAGAAAAGCAGGGAGGGAGGCACAGCGGAGGGTGCGGAGAGGAGAAGGGCCAGGTAGGCTTTGCGCTCCTCCCCTTGTGGGGCCGACTGCCCCTGTAACTCAGGGCTGCCACTGTACTCCTCATCCTCCTCCTTCTCTACTGTCTCTATTCTCTGCTGTACTCAGAGCTCGATCAACTTGAAGCCCGTCCCTTGCCTCTGCCACTTCCATCCCTTGGGCGCCGGAATCTCAGGGTGCACGTAGCCGAATCGCACCGCCAGCTTCCAGCCTCGAAGGAGGGGGATGAGAGGGAGGAGGAGGACGAGGAGGACGAGGAGGAGGAGGAGGAGGAGAAGTAACAATGCCACAAGAGAGGTCTCAGAAGGTCTGACGGAAAAGAACGAGGTGTGGCCATGCGAGAAGACCTTTTTGTACCACTGTGAGAGGCACAGGCAGTGCGAGGACGTTTCTCCATGTAAGGACGTCGACCCAGGGTTCTCTTTTAGTGAGCGGGCCTTGAGGCCATACAAGAGGGGTGTCGAGGAGGTGGCGTCGGAACTCACACATAAAAATATGTGTGCGGAAAGGCGGTAACCAACATGCTCCTGGCGCTTGCGCCTTTGGGACGTGGTTCCACTTGTGTAGCTGCAAGGCGGGACATACAGCATGTAGTCAGAAGATTCATCACACGTAGAAATACGGGAAACTACATGCGCCGCGGGGGGGGAATCTAACATGCGTTTGGCGCGCGCAGTTCGGACGTGTGCTTACGCGTATAGGTGCCAAGGGGGGTCCAACATTTGGTTGGCGGACAAGTGCGTTCGCGCAGGGTGTATCCAACATGCGCCTGCCGCGCGTGCGAAAGCGGGGTACGTCTTCACGTGCGTACGCGCCAAGGGGGTACCCAGTATGTGGTCGGCGGAGTCTTCTAATGTTTTCTTGTTTTAATGCAAGCGCCGGGCAAGGTATCCAACATGCGTTCGGCGCGAGCGCGTCTGGGACGTGCTTCCACGCGTGTATGCGCCGAGGGAGGTATTCAGCATGTGGTCAGCGGACTCCTCGCGTGCCGAAGCAGGGGCAGGAGGAGGAGGGAGGAGGGAGGAGGAGGAGGAGGAGGAGGAGGAGGAGGTATTCAGCATGTGGTCGGCGGGCTCCTCGCGTGTGAAGTGCGCGGGCGGATCGGGGTCTCCCACATGTGGGGCATAGCTGCACGTGCGCAGGCACGGAGGGAGAGGAGGAGAAGGAGGAGGAGGAGGAGGAGGAGGAGGAGGAGGAGGAGGCGGAGGCGGAGGCGGAGGCGGAGGAGGAGGAGGAGGAGGAGGAGGAGGAGGAGGAGGAGGAGGAGGAGGAGGGGGGAGGGGGATGCAAGGCGTGGTCGGCGGAGTCTTCGCACTGCGGCTGTGAGTTCGGAAGGGGTACGTCCAACACGCCTAGGGTGCGGGATTGGGGACATGCTTTCACGCGCCTGGGCACCAAGGGGGCATCCCACATGTGGTCGCCAGGCTGCCTCTGGCGCGTGCTCATCGGGGACGTGCTTTCCCTTGTGCAGGCGCCACGGGGGGGTATCCAACGTCCGGTCGGTCGGCTCAGCACAATTAGGAACAATTGCGCCGAGAGGGGGCATCCGATAGATGCCAGACATGCTTCAGCAGGCCCTGAGATGTCCGGTAGCGATCGCGGTGGTACTGACGACGACGACGGGCATCGGGACGCAGACTCGCACGAACTCGGCGGTCCGCCCTACACGGCGCAGCACCGCACTCCCACAGCAAAGCGCAGCATGGCATGGAACAGCAGACCGTAGAGCTCGCCAACGCGACGAGCGTGTAGAAGAAGAGCCCCTGGAGGGCGAAGACTACCTACGCTTGGCACACAAGCACACATATATGTGTATATGAATGTATTAGCGTCTGCGCAGGCGTGATGCTGTCCTTTCGATCAGGGGGGGTCATCATAAAGTCTGGCTCAAGTTCCTTACCGTGTTCGGTGGGCCCCTCCAGTTTGCAGCGGTGCCCGGGGCGCAGGCAGTGCGAGGAGGAGCGCCAGTACTAATGAGGTCGACGCCTATCGATACTCCACGCCTCGCTTGCCTCCGTGGGAGGAGGAAGAGGCGTAGAAGAATCAGCTGGGGGAGGAGGAGGAGGAGGAGGAGGAGGAGGAGGAGGAGGAGGAGGAGGCGAACGAGGAGGAGAAGGCGCGGGAAGAGGAGGCGGGGTGGGAGGAGGAGGAGGAGGACGACGACGACGAAGACGGCGACGAGGAGGGGTCGGACGAGAGCAGGAAGCTGGAGGGAGTCCTTCTGGGCCGTAGAAAGTGGGCCGCTTGCGGCAGTATCTCGACCTGGCCTCGCAGCTGGTGACTGGGATACCGCCGCCCTTCACAAAGTCCAGCATCGCGGAGTGCAGCTCCTCGGGTATGTCGGGCAGCCGACCTCCAAGCGCGTCCTTTCTGGTATGATGAAACATCAGAGCTCTAAAACATTTGGCTGCGCAGCTTCCTTGCCCTGCCCGACTGTGCAACATGCTGAAGACTCCTCGATTCGAGCCTGTGAGACTGTTGCTTATTTCGGCGGTAGCTCGGGTGATGCGGTGGGGTTGGGCGTGCGGGAGGTGACGGCCGATTACCTAACCTTCTCGCTTTGGTCAGTATGCTCGCGCGCACCTAGCACTGCGCACATGTCGGTGGGAAAGAGTAGATAAAGACATGAAGTAGGAAGGCGGGTAAGTTAGATTTGGTTCAGGCCCCCCAGATAATCACAAGACGTAGCAAAAACATATCAATTCCTGAAGTAGGAAGGCGCTCGAAATATATGGGATCCGGGCATCCAAAAATACCTACTGTCAACGACCCCGAGGGCCGGGAAATGCTTCCGGAGGCCGAACATACGGAGAAACCTCCCGCTACGAATTTGTCATTACCCGAGGGGGTCTGGGAGGCGTTCTGTTGACGGCCCCGGGGCCCGGGGAAGGCGCCAAGAAGCCCTAAATGACGGCAGAAGACTTCCAGGATCCCTTGCCCTTCGGGGCCCCTTGGTCTTCATGGCGCATGCCAAAGTCAAAAACGCCCCCCTTGAGACCTCTCTGGGGTGCGCTCCAACCAGATCTTTCAAGGGCATCTGGCACTTACGACGAGGAGCCCCTGTGAAGCCCCAGCAGAAAGCCCGAACAAAAGGACCGTGGCCGTCGACCCTCGAAGCCCGCTCCTCGAGCCCAAGACCGTTCGGGACCCCTTCCCTTCCAACCGGGTCCTCGCCCGAAGCCCACCAACGCCCCCCCCCCCGCCTCCACCACGTCCCAGCGCCCCCACGCCACGAGAGCTCAGTTCTCAGGACTCCCCACCCGACACTTTCTCGCCCGAAAGCCACCAACGGCCCCCCCCCCCCCCGGCCTCCACCACGTCCCGGCACCCCCACGCCACGAGAGCTCAGGGTCCTTGCCCACCACCTGCGGCTTGGGGGCCGCCTGGGGCATCGCCATGATGGCGCCGCTCGGCAACGGGCGGGCCATGGAGCCCAGCTCCGCCCGCGCCCCGCCAGGGCCGCCAGGGCCGTCCCCCGGCGCCCTCTCGCCAGGCTTCGGGGGGGCGAACTGCCCCTTGCGCGCGCAGCTGCACACCACCACCACGCCAGCCGGGAGCGGAGGAGGAGGAGGATGAGAAGGAGGAGGAGGAGAACGAGGAGGAGGAAGAGGAGGAGGCGGACGAATAGGAGAAGGGAGAAGGAGAAGGAGGAGGAGGAGGAGGAGGAGGAGGAGGAGGAGGAGGAGGAGGAGGAGGGGGCCCTGGCACGGCGTGCACGCCGTCCCGGCCGAGGCCGGGAGGCTCTGCGCAGCACCCTGGGGGCCCCCAGGGTGGCCCTGGCCAGAGGCGGTGGTGGCGTGCAGCTGCCGTCGGCGGGCGACCTTGGGGAGGGTGTGGCCCTCGGGCCGGAGGAAGGGCATGTTGACGCCCAGCGTCATGCCCATCCACTCGATGCTCGGCATATCGAACGCGATCTCCACCGGGCTGTCGGGGACTCGGCACTGCCGCCCGATGAGCTGGGCGTACGTCACAGGAGAGATGGCTCCAGCAACGTAGTCCGGCCCTTTGTACTCGAGGGTCTCCAGTGTCGTCCAGTACTCGCGCGCCTGCAGCGTTTTGTACGTCTCCCCGAGGAGTCTCACCAGATCCGTCGCGGCCTCGCTGCCGTCGCGGGCGCCACCGCACTCCTTGAAGAGCTCCTGCGCCCTCGTGGCGGCCCCGATGGCCAGCTCCACCTTGCCCATCTCGTAGTGCAGCTCAGCCAGGGTGAGATGCGCGATGGCCTGCCCGGCCACCTCGCCACTGGCCTCAAAGTCCTCCAGGGCCGAGTGCGCCGAATCCAGCCCCTCCTGGCACGTGCCTTGGACCGCGTGCAGCTGAGCGATTTCGACCTTGGTCAGGCTAGCCGCCACCGCGTCGCCGGCCTCCAAATACAAGTCCCTCGCCTGCGTTCCCATGGAGAGCGCCTCGCTTGCGTAAGCGTCGGGGTCCTTCAGCCGCCCACCGTTCACAGAGGGGCCCTGGACAGAAGGAAGGACAAAGTTTGGCGGCAGTATGCCTGCAGCCGTGGGCTGATCCCTCTGCGTCTTGACCGCCCAGAGCAGCACGCGGAACACGACCGCACCGGTGCCAAAGACCGTGGCCTTGATGTGGCTCTCCCCCAGCTGCTCGGCCAGGGCGATTGCCTCGCCCATGAGCTGGCCAGCCTCCACCAGCCGGCCAGCCGCCAGGCTGCAGAAGGCGAAGGCGCGCGTCGCGACTGCCAGGCCCTTCTTTCCCCCGATGTACTCCTGATGGATGGCGTAAGCAGCTTTCGCCGCCTTCACCGCAGTCGTCTCGTCCCGCAGCGGGATGGCTGCCGCGGCGGTCAGGAAGAGCGCGTCGGCCTCTCGGGCCTGAGACGCGGGCTTGGTCACCTGCTTGAGGAGGACGACGCCCTGCTTCGCGAACTTGTCCGCCTCTTCGAGGGAGCCCTTGAACAGCTGGATGGTTGCCTTCGTTATCAGCGCCGCCGCCTCTCCGACCTTTTCGCTGGCAGCTGCAAAATTCTTGATCGCTTTGTCGACCTCGTCAATGGCGTCCTCGGGTCTACCCTTAATGAAATCCGCCACCGTGCCCGCACGGAGTGGGCGTGCTAGAATGCGCCTCTGCTGTCTGGTACAGCTTCTTCAGTGCTTTCTGGGGCCGACCCCTCCCCTCCTCGCACGCTCCCTTCGAACGTCGACCTTTTCTGGCCTTGCTCTCCAGCGCTCTTTTCGGCCTTCGGGCGGCTTCAAGACAGCCAACAACCGCCCCAACACATCAAAGATCGCCCCAAACGGCCCAAGATGGCCCAAGACCGTTCCAGGACGGCCTCAAAACTGCCGAAGTGGCCTCCGAGACTGCGCAAGAGAACTCCAAGAGGCCCTCCAGTCCGAGGCGGCAAGCATCTGGAATGTTCCGTATGGTCCTGAAGGATGTTAAGGTTATCGCATATTTGGGGGATGCGACTGCCCAAGACGGCCCAAGAGGTGTCCAAGATAGCTCCAAGGCAGCCCAAGAGGCTCCAGAGAGGACCCAACGTCGGCCCAAGAGGACCAGGAGATCGCCCAAGAGGGTCCCAAGACGGCCATTAAGCGCTCCAAGAGGGCACCAGGACGGCCCAGAGAGACCCCCAAAACGGCCTCGCAAGGCATCAGAGTGGCCAAAAATCCTCTAAGACGACCCAAGAGGGCCCTACACTCAGCCTCCTAACTGCTGCGCTGTTGCGCAGGCACGGTGGGGGGACTTGCCGCAGGCAGCCGGATAGATCTTGGCTAGAGTGTTACCCGCGCCAGCCTCGCCCTGGCGACTCTTCGCTGCCTGGAACTTGGCCACGGCCTGCTTGGCCAGCTTCTCTGCCTCCTCGTAGTCGTAGGCGTCCAGGCTGACCCTGGCGAGGGTGTGGAGTGCCATGGCCTGATGTCAAGGAGGACGAGGAGGAGGAGGAGGAGGAGGAGGCGGTGGAGCGTGGAGCGAGAGCTCAGAAATCGAAGGTCGGGGAAAAATGCAACGTCGCGCGAAGCAATACATAATCGGAGGTCGGAGGGGTGAGACCGAAGAGAACCGAGAGTTGCCCGAGCGGAGAACCGTCTCATTTCGTGTGTGACATGCGGGCGACCGAGGCGACGAGATGCGCGGGTTCCTGCCATAACTGGGGCCACGTCAGACCAAAATGAGTCGCCCCCCCCCGTGTCTGGGCCGTGGCCGCCAGTCACCCCGATGGTTGCCCCGCTAGTTGCCCCGATTGTTGTCCAGGGACGGCTTCCGGCTGACGACGCCGCTGTCTCGTAGACATCCCCGCGACGTGACAGGCCTCAAGGTATCCCTCCTCCTCCTCCTCCTCCTCCTCCTCCTCCTCGATCCTCGAGCCTCGTTCCCCGATCCTCGAACCTTGATCCTCCACCTCCCCCTCCAGCAGGGAGGGCGGGACGCCTCCCCCCTCGCGGCGCCCACGGACGCGAACGCCGCCAGCGCCGAGGCCGCCCCGGCCCGCGCGGCGTCCCTGTCGCCCCGGGCGTGGGCGACCTTCGCGAGGGCTAACTGCACCTCGCGGCGCGGCTCTTCACTGGGATCCTGGCGACTCAATCTGTTTTCGAGCCGGGCATTTTCATTGGGTTTCGGGCCCTGGGACCCTCACATATCGATACAGCTTGGAAAACTGGAGCAGAAACATGGGGCCTAGTGCTCTGGTCATGACCTTAAACGATGTCTCAATGTTTTCGCGCCGTCGGATCTCAGGATTCAAGAAGCAAAAAAAGGCGAAGAACCCGACCCCTATTTAAACACGGGGCGACTATACACAGGACCGCTCAATACACGAAAACACATTGAGGGACCTGCAGTAGCCCTGGAATGCTTCGCCAGAACGTCAGACAACGCCCACCGTCACACATTCACGCACGCACTCCCACGACTCACATTGGAAACGAGGACGGCCACGAAATGGGTGAGAGGTGTGCCGAAATGACCCGAGGCCGCCATGCGAACCCTGCCACTGGGACCTTCTAGGGGGGTCCTTCTAGGGTCCCAGTGTAATTCATGTCCAACCATTGAACTAAATCGGGTAATTCCCTACTCCCCCTCCATATCCTCATCTCCCTCCTCCCTGCTCGGTGGAGCTCCTTAGGGGGCCACGAAACGTGCGAGGGGTGTGCCGAGAAGGCGCGGGCAACCGTGCGGACTGTGCCAATGAGGCCTTCAGTGGAACTCTCGAGGGGGCCACGAAACGTGCCAGAGGTATGCCGAAATGGCGCGGGTAACCATGCGGACTGTGTCACTGGGGCCCTCGGTGGATCTCCCTATAGGGGCCACGAAACGTGTCAGAGGTATGCCGAAATGACGCAGGTAGCCATGCGGACTGTGGCACTGGGGTCTTCGGTGGAGAACCCTATGGGGCCACGAAACGCGGCAGGGGTGTGCCGAAATGGCGCGGGTAACCATGCGCATTGTGCCTCTGGGGCCTTCGGTGGAGCTCCTTTGGGGCCCCGAATGGTGCAGTGGTGCGCCGAAATGGCGTGAGTAGCTTTGCGGACCCTGCCACTGAAGCCTCTGGTAGAGCTCCCGAGGGGGGCACGAACGGTGTAAGGGTGTGCCGAAAGCGGCCCGGGTACGTGTGCGGGCCCTGCCACGGAAGCCTTCGGTGGAGCTCCCTAGGGGGGCCACGAAACGTGTAAGGGGTGTGCCGAAACGGCGCGGGCAACCATGCCGATTGTGGCTCTGTGGCCTTCGGTGGAGCTCCCCAGGGGGCCACGAATGGTGTAAGCGCGTGCCGAAATGAACCCGAGTACCTAGGCGGACCCTGCCACTGAAGCTTCGGTGGAGCTCCCTATAAGGGCCACGAAACGTGTAAGGGGTGCACGGGAACGGCGATGATGATGATGATGATGATGATGATGATGATGATGACGATGACGATGACGATGACGATGACGATGACGATGATGATGATGATGATGATGATGATGATGATGAAGATGAAGATGCTGATGCTGATGCTGGTGGTGGTGCTGATGCTGGTGCTGATTATGATGGTGATGATGATGTTGATGGTGATGATGATGGCGATGATGGTGATCACGAGTATGAAGATAGATGATTCTAAATATGACGATGACGACAATGCTGGCGACGGCGATGGTGATGCCAAGGCTGAGGAGAAGATGAGGAGACTGATGATAATGATGATGGCGGCGACGGAGCTGATGATGTTGACGATTGCGATACTGATGTCCGAGATGATGGCGATGCTGATGCTGATAAAGATGCTGATGCTGATGGTGATGGTGGTGACGATGATGATGAACGTGACGATGCTGATGGTGATGACGACGACGATGATGATGGTGAAGATGGTGACGATGATGGTGATGATGGCGACGACGATGATGTTGGAGGTGATGGTGATGAAGATGACGATGATGATGGTGGTGCTGGCTCTGGTGCTAATGATGCTGATGATGATGGGCATGATAGTGATGATGCTGATGATGCTGATAATGATGAAGATGGTGATGATGATTATGATGATGATGATGACGATGACGATGATGATGACGGTGACGGTGACGATGATGACGATGATGAAGAGGATGATGCTGATGACGATGCTGATGATAATGATGGTGCTGATGATGCTGGTGATGATGCTGGTGATGGTGAAGCTGATGATGATGCTGATGATGATGGTGGTGGTGATGATTATGATGATAATGATGATGATGATGATGATGATGATGATGATGATGATGATGATGATGCTGATTGTGATTATGCTGCTGATGATGATGATGATGATGATGATGATGATGGTGATGAGGAGGAGGAGGAGGATAACGACGACGACAACGATGGTAATGGGAAGTGGTAAGGGGTGGATGAAGAGGAAGTGGTGGGATGGAGTGAAGAGGACGAAGATGATGAGGAGGAGGAGGAGAAGGAGGAGGAGGACGAGGAGGAGGAGGGAGGTGTGGAACGCGGCGTTGCGAATTCAAAACGAGGACCACACACAGGAGGGTTGGACACAAACCTTCGACGATCTGACTTGCGCCGGAATCCGAGCGTTATCCCTCGATGTGGGGCCCTCGGGGGCCGTTCTGCCGGGCGCCGAGAACTGGCACCCGGGGAAGTGCAGCTGGGGCTCGGGGACCCTTGCCCTCCCTGCTGCTGGAAAAGGAGGAGGAGGAGCAAGCGTCCCTGGAGGGCGGTCCATCCCAGCCTATGGACGCCGCGGGCGAGGAGGAGGAGGAGGAGGAGGAGGAGGAGGAGGAGGAGGAGGAGGAGGAGGAGGAGGAGGAGGAGGAGGAGGAGGAGGGGGGGGAGGAGGAGGGGGGGAGGAGGAAGAGCCTGACATCCTCGCGTCGTGGAACAAAGCACGACGGAAGGTTTCGGGCGATGTTCGGCCTCTGGGAGCCCTCGCTGGGCCCCAGGACCGTCAAGAAACAACTCGGGGTAAAAGACTGGTCGAGGGGAAGGGGTCCAAACCCGAGGGGGGTCCGCGCTGCGAATGAAGCACGACGCTGGATGCCTGGGCGACGCACGAACAAACAAGGGGCGGCTCGCGGCGCGCCTGTTTTGAAAGCGCCCAGGACACACAGTAAATAGACCAATCTTCCCCATATCCCCAACATTTGCCATGTTTTCGGGATGTCCGTCTTCCCTTGTACGTCCCAGATGTTCCAGATGCTCATGAAGGTCGACGTTTACCTGTGACACACCTGTGTCTGTGTGTGTGTTGTTCGGGTGTTGCTAGAAGTGCTCCTGGCCCAAGGTGCCCCCAGCTTTTCGCTCCATTGTGGAGCCACTGTGGCCGCAGGCCCCGTGGGGCGTGGCCTCCGCGGCGTGCAGCCGTCGTTCGTCGACGACGCACGTCGGGACACCGGGGAGCACCGGGACCCCTGGGGCCTGGTGGCCGCGGCATGCGTGGTGTGCGAGGCTAGGGGGCCACATGCGAACCCTACCCCTACCCCCCACGATTTCTGAGGGGGAGGGCGGGGTTCACTTCGCTCGGGAGCTCCCAAACGAAGTGAACCCCGCCCTCCCCCTCAGAACTCGTGGGGGGTAGGGGTAGGGTTCGCATGTGGCCCCCTAGAGGCGGGTCGAGAGCTCTCTGAGACGAAGCCACGGCGAGGAGAAGTTCGGGTCAGGATATACCGTGGGTCCCTGAGATCCGGCGGCACTGGAGGATGCATCGGGCGACGCGGCCTTCTCCGAGCGTTCCAGAACGCTCTGAGAGCGTCCTGGGCCGCCCTGGAACGGAGTTATCCTCGTCCTAGCCCCGCCCGTGTGCGAGGCGTGTCGGAAGTTGTTTCTCTAAATCTACCAGAATCCCTACCTGCCGGGTTGGGGGCAAAAACGGGCACCTGCAAACAAGGGTGCCGGCGAAATAATATTCCGGCCGGACTTCCGTACAGTTGCCGGAAACATGAGCAAAACCATCGTGTTGTACGAATGTATCGCACGACGCCGCCTGGCCGGAAACCAAAACCATCCCCATACAAAAAAACATCGTTGTTCGCGTGCTGGTGACGCCCTTGCTGCTGTTGCTCCTGCAGAGCGTACGGAGCACAGCGGGCAAACCGGGAGCCACGCGAGGGCCGGCCTGCCTGCAACAGGCGAATCCAAAGGCGGAGCGGTGGCTCGTGCAGACAGGAGCAGCGCTGTCCTGCGACGGGGGCCGAGATACAGGCCGTGAGCAGCACTTCCCCACCGCAGCCCACCCAGGCGACACTCAGGCCGCTCGGAGACAGTAAAGAGCACACCGGCGAGGAGCAGGGAAAAGCAGCACCGCCACCACTTGTCGAGGGCTGCCCCGATTGGGCCGGGGTGCAGGCGAAACGTAATCAGAAGATCGCGGGCCGAGAACCTGAGCCCTTTCGACCAGTGCTCAAGGCATCATGGATCATGGATGTGTCCCT